TTTTTTAAATTAGCATGTGATATGGGTGGGGCATCGATGAGAGAAAGATCAACCGCATCTGAACCATGTGGATTCAATTTTTCAATATTTGATAATTATATGCCCACAGTTGAGAGATGATCGTGTGCTATAGTTTAGTTAGCTTCACCAACCACATTGATGTTCATATTAAAAAGAAACTTAGATCCAATGGGTTCACTTTACAAAGAGCCCTTAACTAGATTGAGATTTGATGAATTTGTAAATTCAATTAGGCGGACATTGTTATTGAAATATCACTCGTGAGTTGTATCATACCGTTTATACAAGGAAAATAGGTTTACCTTATAAGCATAGTGAGTTACTCCTCCTACCACCAATTGGTTTTAGAACGAAACATTACTTGGGTTTCATCTGGGCTCACCCTGTCCTGGTGCACTTCACGTGCGTGGGACCGCACCTGTTTTCCCCGGTTCTTACAATGGTATATATTATACTTAGTTAATAGTTGTTCGAAGTACTCGTTTCCCCGTTTCTTACAATTGTTATATATTATACCTACTTAATTGTTGTTCGAAATGCTCAGCTGCACATTACATTCAGTCCTACAATACCATGTTAATGAGGAAGTGTATAATTTTTTTAAAACTTTAGAAATTCGGGTATATTGTATTGAGGTTTTATAAAAAAATTTTAATACTTTTAAAAATTTTGAGGTATTCATTTGGGATTTTAAAAAGTTTACAAAATCTTGAAATATTTAATGTATTTGAGACTAATATTTGTTAAGACTTTTAAAATTTATTAGGATTTCTAAAAAATAAAAAAATATTATACGAAATCACATTCAAAATCTCACCCTCGAGCTTAAGATTTTACAAGATTCCTTCAAAATTTGAAAATCTTAAAAAGTCTTAAATCTCAATAAGTCTCAAGATGTCACTTGAATGGAGTTACATTCATTTAGTTCGATCTTGAGACTTTGTAAGATTTTTAAATTTTGGAGGAATTCTATGGCATTTTAAGTCCGCAGGTGAGATTTTTTTTTCCCAAAAAGATAGATAATATTATAAATCTAAATGCACAAATGTGAAAAGACACAGCAGCCAACGACTGAATACACAACAGCCAACAGCTGAAAAAGTGGGAGGACAGGTCAGAAGACCGCCTAAAATCCCGGCTAGCAACGCTAAAATAAAGCTCGCAACAAATTAACCAACTAAAAATTAAAACAACTAAAAACAACTAAAAAAGACCCCACAGGGTAATACCCGAGTGTCGGATCCCATAGGGATAATAATGTGACACTCGGGTTCACAGAGGCTAACGCCCAAACCAAAAACACCATCCTAAGGGATACAAAAACTAAAAAAACAAAAAAAATCAAACTAAACTAAACGACAAGGGCACAACCTCCCCCACCAGATGCATCGAGGTACGCAGCAAACAAACCAACTCCAAAGATAGCTTACGAGCACGGAAACGACCACCCGCCACTGCTTAAGGCTTAGCAAGACGGGGTACCCATACTCATAAGCCCACCGAAGAGCTAGCCCGCACTCCAATCACGTGACTAAACCGACACGGCTCGGCGTCACTGAATCAGCCCGTCTGCAGGTGAGATTTGAAATACAATTTTGTATAAGGTTTTTACTTTTATCCCAACAAATTTTAAAAAGTCTTAACAAATCTAAATCCTACAAAAACTAAATACCACCATATTTTGTGTGACTTTTTAAAATCTCAAATAAGCTAAATAACTCCAGATTTTGTGTGATTTTTTAAAATCTCAAATGAATACCCAAAGATTTTTAAAAGTCTTAAAAAGTCCAAATTAAGTACACTGGAATTTTCTAAAGTCTTAAAAGGTATTTAGAATCCTTAAATGAATACACCACTAAAATCTCAAGCAAATGCACCTTTAACACGTATTGATAAAATGTGTGTAAGTGTTTTTTTTTCTCAAAACGATAGAAAATTTTATAAATCAAAATGCACAAATGTGCAAATTACACAACCTCTAGCTGAATAGGACAACCAACAACTGAAAAACTGTGAGGACAGGTCAGAAGACGCCTAGAGCCCACCTAGAAACGCTATAAACAAACTCACAACGACACAAACACAAAGAAACTACAACTAACTCCCAAACATGATACTAAAATGACCCAACGGAGTAATACCCGCTAACATTCGGGCTAACTGGGGCCACCGACCCAAACCAAAAACACAAGTAAACAACACAAACGCAAACGACCCAAAACGAACGAAAACAACTGAAAAGAAAATAACAAAATAACCACATTTAAAGCTTTCCCCAACAAATAAACGGGCTCCGCCAGCAGAGAACAATCGGTCCAAGGAAGATCCCAAGGCCCAGGCACTACTACCGAAACTGTGAAACTGCCTAAACAGAAGTCGAACCCGAGCTCCAAACCAAACCCCAAAACGACCCGCCTCAAATCGAGAGAACGACGACACCAGCTCCCCGCACCATCACAACCCGAACTCATCTAACACCACTAGTCAAGCTATGGTGCTAGGGGTCTCACCCAACCTCAACACTAGAGGAACGGGGGCAGAGAGCGGTTCGGTCCTAGAATTCCGACTTCTCTGACGCAAGACGTCATAGCCGCCAGAGCGCTGTCCCACCTGCTGACCCACATACCAACCAACATCACCGCAAACCGCCGACAACCAAGACGAAAAGCCTCATCGGAGCCCCACCAGAGAAGCGAAGCCACCTGAAGGGAGCCCTCCAGTCGCAAACAATGTCAGATATAAAGTTAAACCACCTCCAATTGAGACCTACCGGCAATCAACACCACCAATCGCCGACCGAGAAGCTCACCACCACCAAACGTGATCTCACCGGCGACCAAGAGCAAGGCAGACCATCTAGCGCTGAACCACCGCAACAACAACAGAGATGCGAGAATTAGGGGGTGGGCTGAGCGGTCAAGGGTGACCACTAGACGTATCCTCACCATCACTGAGTAAGGCAAAACGACGTGATGAAAGAGAAAGCAAGCATCGCTAGATTTTTTTTTCTCTAAGGCAAGTAGAGAAGGAAGAGTTATCTTATTGTAGGTAACTTATCTTACCTTCAATAAATTAACACATATTCACATGTGTATTAATTGAGAGGTAAAAATAAAACAAAATAAGTGAATTTTAGCTTTAAAAGTCTCTCAATTCTCTTATAAAACTACTCGATTACATTTTCAAAGTTAAAAACAAAAGCATTAATTTGGATATTGGGCCATGGGCTTAGATCCCTAGTATCAAATTTCTCTCCGGATTGACCATGTAAGATTAAGATTGGGCCTGAGTATCAAAGTGACACTTGTAAAGGGAAAATCTCTCCGGGCATGAAAATCTCTCGCTGCATCAGTTCACTTGTAAAGGGAAATCATCTCACATTTTGATCCACTTATAATCTCTATTTTAATCAAATTTTTAGATGTTCAATTGAAAGTAAAATATCCCTAAACTAATATATTTAGGATGGAAAAGCCCAAATCTTCCCTAATTTGATTTACTTAAATTGTGAAAAAAAATTATATATACTCTTGAATATATTGGAAATATATATTTCAATTTATTCACTTAATAATTAATTTGCATTATTTATTAATTGATTGACTTGTTTGTTAGATTATATCGTGAAAAAAATAAAAATAAAAATAAAACTAGCATCACATCTGTTCCGACACAGTCCGACACCTCAAAACAACATAGTACAGACAATCCACCAACAAAACAAACAAGTCACAAAATTACACATCAAATTCAGCCCAAATCAGGCCACCTTCAACTGAGGATCGACTTCAATTCGCGCCACCCCTTCCCCCGCCGCCTTCGCCACTTC